GGCACAACAGACTGGGCGTTTGGCATGGACGGAATATTTTACTGGTATACCAAAATGCCTGCAATTTCTTCACTGTTGTAGTGTTGAGGATCACCTTTCGAACTTGTAAGTGGTGTCCCGCAATATAAACTGAGGATGGAAGCTCACGGCAGTCAAAAATTAAGCGAGTGATGAAACTGCACCAGCAGGAGGTACAGGGGCATTAGAGATGTCCGAAAAGTGGGCAAATAACAGGGTAGGGTAGGGTCGGAACAATGTGGCAGCAGAAAGGGGCCCAGGAGGAGCTGTTTCATGGATTTGGGACTTCATGGTTATGTCACTTCTTTCTTTTTGTTTTTTTTTAGAAAAAAGAATAAAAAAAGGGGGGGGGGGATGTGGAAGGATAGCTCCTAGGAGGAATGAAAGGGTCGTAAATTCCCCTCCATGCCCAAGAGGCCCCAAGCACTGCAAATGAGGCATGAAACCCATGCCATGCCCTACCCTTCGTGCCAGTAAACCAGTAATCAGGGATAGCATCCTCACATCTACCGAGCCAAGTCGGTGAACAAAAGAGAGGGCAGCCAGATACCCGCCACAAAGCGTACTCATTGGAGCGGAGGAGAGAGAGACATGATAATATATACGTGGAAAGTACTCGAGGGCCTGGTTCCAAACCTGCACACTGCCATAACATACTGGAGTGAGAAATATGGGAGGAAGTGAAAAATAAACCCAGTGAGGAGCATGGGTGCAGTGGAAACAATAAGGGAACACTGTATCAACATCCAGGGTCCCAGATTATTCAACATCTTACCAGAAGGTATGTACAGTGGACCCCCGCATAACGATCACCTCCGAATGCGACCAATTATGTAAGTGTATTTATGTAAGTGCGTTTGTACGTGTATGTTTAGGGTTCTGAAATGGACTAATCTACTTCACAATATTCCTTATGGGAACAAATTCGGTCAGTACTGGCACCTGAACATACTTCTGGAGTGAAAAAATATCGTTAACCGGGGGTCCACTGTATCAGAAACATGGCTGGAACAAGTGTAGAAGCCTTTAAGAGGAAACTGGACAAATATCTTCACCAGGTGCCAGATCAACCAGGCTGTGATGGATATGTGGGGCAGTGGGCCTCCAGCAGCAATAGCCTGGTTGACCAGGCAAGCACCAGATGAACCTGGCCCATGGCCGGGCTCCGAGAGTAGTGAAACTCGAAACTTCAAAGGTAACTACTGAACCACTATGACAGGATTACAGAGGCATTAGAAGCTAAAATGTAGATGTGGTGCATATGGATTTTCCACAGGCAATTAAATGCAATAATGTAATGACTGCACATAAATGAGGGTGAAAGGGATATTTGACAAACAGAACACTGTAGAAGTAAGAAGCTTGGTACCACAAGGCATGGTCCTAGTACCTTGACTGTTTCTCATACTCATAGCAGGCAAAATATGCTACAGTTTCATGTATAACCTGCAGATGCCAAAATAAGCATGAAAATCACCTTACAATATATAAGGAAATTGTTCCAGTGAGGAGTGACAAATTCCAACTGCTTATATATATATGGATACAATGAACTCAAAGGGCACTGTATACAAAAATTCCAAATCACCAAATACCCCATAAGCACAAACAAAAAGAGCATGAGAGATCTGGATATACTGTCAGCTGACCTGTCTTTCAAAATATGCTACAAGGCAAATAAATGTTATGGTCAGTAAAGTGATGGGGTGGGTATTTAACTTTCAAAAGGAAAAAATGCCAATGGCAACATTTTTAAATAACTTGTGCTCCTATGCTTAAAGTACTTTTGTGTTCGTTTCATTCAGGGTAGGAGAGCATGTTTATGGCTCATGTAGACTCAATACAGCATGTAAATTACTGGGAACACCTCAAAATCTTAAATATGTAATCAATGGCACAGAGAAGGGAGCATGATAATTTATATATATAGAAGGTGCAAAGGGAAGGGGGGCTAGTCCCAAATCTGAACGCCCTGGAGTGAAAGATATAGGTGCAAATGTATAAACCCAATGAAAAGCAGAGGTGATGTGGGCACAAGAGAATATTATAAGAACATTGTGGCCCCCAGACTATTCAACACTAACAGTAGATATTGGAAATACTGCTAGAAAAACAAGTACAGAAGTCTTAGAGGAAGCTAGAGAAATACCTCCCAAAAGTACCGAATCAGTCAGGCTGTGATAGATATGCGGGCCAGCAACAGCCTGGCCTGTATGAGTAGGAAAATCCTTGAAATCTTTCAAAGGTACCTTTCCCCACTGACATTTTTCTAAGCATTACTCGGGCAAAATTTTTTCACTGCAATGAATCAAGTGCTGACAGAAGGAGGCAAAACAACTGTGCCAAAAGCAAAGGAATCAGTCAGAAGGCGTGCACTTACAGGCCAGTATCTCTAACATGTATACTGTCAAAGATTCTGGAGAAGATAAAAGGATATTGGGGCACCTGATTCTTTACAGAAAACCAGCATGGATAACTGTTTTTATGAACTTTATGGAGTTATATGACAAAGTTGCAGATAAAACAAAGATGGGGTTGGGTGTACTGCATTTTCTTGAAATTGTAGAAAGGTATTTGATACAGTACCCTGCCAAGGAACAGTCCAGAATCAGAACAAGCAGGGTTAAAAGGCAGTATCTCAGAGTACCTGAATGACAGAGGACAGAGTTATAGTAATGGGTGAACCAGAATGGGAGAGTAATGAGTGGGGGGTTCTATAAGTCTCAGTTTAAGACCATTACACTTCCTAATATACAATGACCTACCAGAAGGAATTGCATCCAGTCAGTTTTCTGACAATGCAAAATTGAGAATAGGAGAGGACAGAGACCTTGACAGAAAACTGATATGGTCAAGCAAGAGGCTTGTAGAGTTCAATCCAAACAATGTAAAGTCATCTGTTTTGATTGAGATGGTAGCCCCAGACTAGTACAGCATGGACAAAGCTGCAGCTATCAGTATGGAAAGGACCTGGGGTAAAAATAACACCAAGCATATTCCCTGACTTGTACATGACTGTTTAAAGATAGCACCTGGAAAATTAGCAAACCTCAAAACAGCATTTATGAAAGAACAAGCAGACCTTTGGAGAACTGTATACAACCTAGGTTAGGCCAATGAGTAAATGGCCTCAGCATAACGTTCACATCTGATCAAGCATTCATAGAAGCTTAAAAAAGTCTCAAGGTTTGCCACCAGAACTGAGGAAAATGCCCTGAAGGAATGAACTGAGAGGCAGGGCCAAGAGCTTTGACTGTTGATTAGAAAAAAAAAAAAAAAAAAAAGTTTTAGAATGGGATATCAAGAGGATGCAGGAAGACCACCTACTGTTGGCTTCCTGGTTTTCACTTGTATGGAGTTTTCTAAAGAACCTAAACTAATGCTGCTGGATATCCTACCTGAACGTGCTCATGCACCCTGATTTCCTGAATGCCAGAATTTCTTTTCTCCCCTATACTACTACAACCTGTGTATATCTATAATAGTTGAAGGTCTGTTCTTTATCTCGTCCCATCACAGTATTGCAAAGGCTCCTATGAAATAAACACACTTGGTTGTAATCACTTATATTGGCAGAGTCATGAGGGGAACTTAGCCCAGCCTACCTGTCTCGCCTATGCCTACACGGGAACCGAGAGGGAGGCCTCTGGGCCCACACTCGCATGCATCACTGCCATAATACTACTATAGTATCAAATTAAGCCTCCAAATGCAAAAAGTCATACAGCACTACTGTTAGGGATGTGAGAGGAATGTGCAAAAGGAGTGGTCAGGAATGCGAGGGTGGGGGCTAGGGGGAGACTGCAAAAGTTAAAAGTAAAATCTGCATCTCAGGCAGGCTCCTTGTTTATGTGCTTTTTAAGGAAGGTTCCTTGATGCTAGTGAGGAGTTCATTTATCCACCAAGGAATCTGAACTCTCTTCCCTTTCCTTGTATGCATGAAAAGCCACTTGATCTACTACTTACACTCAGGCATTAAACCTACATTACTTCTTAATGTGATCAGGGCAAGGGAGTAAGTTATAGTATTCAGAATATCTATTTAAATCTCATTTCCTTAACTACCATTGTTATTATTTATGCATGATTAATCAACAGCCATATATCTTGTGGTAGCACTACTACCCTTTTGGGTCTAGTGCTTTCATCATTAATATGGATCTCTTTATAATCCACAATAGTTTAGCACTTCATGAATATTATATATGGAACCTCGTATGCAATAATTAATTTTATTTTCAGAACAAATATGAATATCAAGTTTACTGACCTGTAGAGTCTCATGATACATCACAGAATTCTTGTAACTGATACTACCATATTCAAATGGAAAACTAAACACATTAGCAGTATAATGTGATCCTTTACTGAATGTTTTGCCCACACAATGGGCTTTATCAAGTCACAAACAGATCTACCCAGGTAGATCTGTTTGTGACTTATTAGTATAATCAAAAAGCACTAAAGCACAAGGGCTTTGTGACCTGATAAAGCCCACTGTGTGGGCAAAACGCTGTCAATAAAGGATCACATTATACTGCTTGTGTTTATTTTTTACCATATTCAAATAATTCTACTCTCTCCCTGCAAAGGGAAAAGGCTTTTGATCAGAGGAATTAGGGATTTCCCTTTGCTTTCTAGAATCAAACCTGATTATCTCCAATTACAAGGAAGAACCAAATTCATAAGAGTGAAGCAGCTTTAATTCTGAAAGTGTCAATCAGGTCTGAGCAAAACAATGGGAAAGGAAGCTCAGATTTTGTATTCATGAGCAAGTGCTAAATCCATGAGGGTCATACACTGGTTGGAAATAAGGACTAGGAGGCAAGTCTGATTCAAGGGAAGGACAGATGCAATTCCTTGGCTCAAGAGTTCCTCACCAGCCCCAGCTTAAACCCTTGGACACTAAAAAAAACCTTGAGTTGAGCATTTTTTACGAATATAACACAAACACTGCAGTATTAAGTTTATAAATAATGATGCATTATAAAAAATTTTTATTTAACCTTCAATGTAAATTCTTTAATATAAACTAGGAAAAGTCAAGGTGTACCTTTAGAATATAACTCCTTTGTCATTTAGACATCTTGATTACAAACTGGACAAAGAACATGTATTAATATAAAAAATTACTAATTCTTAAATTTCTCCTGCCAGCTGTGTCACTTTACACAAGAGCCAAGTGCTCTGCTATAAACTAAATTTGGCCTGTTACCTTGTAAGCTTGACAAAGCTTTAAACGAGTCACTGAGCAGGTCATACATAGTTCCTAACAATTTTTTGCCCTTGCCTCCTGGTTCACTTATTTATCACAATAAGCAAGTATAGGATGGTTTGGTTGAAGGGCATATACGTAGCAGAACAAACCTTTATTGTAAAGAATTATTTTTTTGTCAGTGTATATCCTATATATACTGCAGAAGTAAGATAAAGGCAAGGTGCATAGGATCTGACCCCACATTACATACACATTACCTTTAAACCTGGTAATGTGTGTGTACTGGATGTACAGTCCTGACTTCAAAAAGTTCTCCTTAAAACAAAACATTGTCACAAAGTCTTGTTTTGCTACATGCATGATGATTTATCTATATTTTAATGTCTCTTAATATTTCAGCATTAGTGCACCAGATAGTGACATAATAAACTTTGGTTTCCACTTATAATAAATAACATTAAGGGAAGTAAAACTGGTAACTGTTCATAAGAACTATAATCAGCCCTTGATATTTTAAGCAAAACAATTTATGCCTTCAGTTCTTGTGTCTATTACCAATTTTTTACACTTTTCTGAATATTTGGTCTTATGAAAACTTAAGACAAATGAAATTATTGTATATACAGTAAACCCTTTGATCATGAGATTACATATGATTTTGTGGAAACACAAATGAAGAATGCATCCAAAATTTCATACAGTAGATACCAAGAAGAGTATATATTAAGTGTTGTAAATTGTGAAAGCATCAAGTTATATGCAAAATCTGGATACCATGCACAATGAAATATTCAGACTTGCATCGCACCCAAGGATCAAGCGTTTGGAAAAAGCACAGCTTCCTCCTCGAAGGCCATCGCCAACTCTACCTGCTTTCTGGGAAGGTCACATACCTTGCACCCTCTTATTTATTTTGAATATTTTCATCACTCCATCTTATCTTTGGATAGTCATGACACTCAAGAGGAATACTAGTGATGAAGATGTCAAGAAAAACAAAGAGAATCTCACGGAACTGAAGTAGAAATTTTAGATATCCTATGAGATATTGTACTTGTGATGCAGACTGCCTGCATAGATAGTAGATTGTACAATGGTTAGTATCCAACATCTGTACACTTATACAAAATAAAGAAAATAAAAGCTTGTGCAATGAGTGACCTAGTGAAAAGATTGTCAAGATAAATACAGCTAAATAAGACAAAGTTACTGCATGTGTAGAGTCTGGGCCTGGAGCAGAGTGAATGTGGACACACTGTTGATGACTTCTTCAAAGTCAAATGGGGAGAGAGCTACATTGTAAACTGTGGAGATATTGGCAGGGTTTCAAGTCTCATTCACAAAAAAACTCATTAGGGGCCATCAATCTGCAGGTTGGTGAGCAGTTCACTGAATACAGTCATGTTGTGAATTCAATATTTCACTCATTTCCTTAATGTCATCAGTGTATGTTCAATCCCCTTTAAGTAATGGCCCTGTACAGGATGTAGTATTTGGGATTCCTTTTAATTTCATTTATAACTCTTTGTATCATGTGAGGTGCACGAAAGACAGGAGCAATCAGTTTGTACTCGTTCTCCATTTCTCTAACCAGTTTCCATTCGTGCTTCAGAAATTTGTAATCCATCGTCTTCACCTGTAGAGGGCCATCCCCTCTCTCCCTAGTTTGTATTTTCTCTGACTTAAGAAATCGTAATGACACGATTGCAAATAAACCATACCCCCGGCCGGGGGTTCAATCCCGGCCGGGGGTATGGTTGTATTTTCTCCTTTGAACACCAGTCTCTTCTTACTTCCATGTCAGCACGCAATAAGAGCTAGAATATTATTTTTTTTTTTTTTTTTTTTTTTTTTTTTTTTTTTTAGCAAATTTAGGTGTGTATATATGGTTACAGTCCTATTTTTGTCTTATGATCTTCACCTCGTATAAAACTTGAGTTTCATGAGGAGTTAATGTTCAGGAATTTATCTCATACATTATGAGAGGGTTTATTGCATCAGTTTCCTGTAGGTGCTAAATGCAAAAAATAGTGCAATACATTTTAAAATTTTCTACCCAGAATTAACTTAACTCCTACTGAAAGGCACATGTGACAACCCTGTATTAGAGGGCAAAATCATTCAACCAAGTTATATAGATATTAACATGTAATAAATGCACTTCACAAATGAGACTAACATACAGTAAAAATAAAAAAAAAACTAAGATCACTTTTCCAAAATAAATGCATATAAGTTCAGTGAAAAACATCGGTTCCCTTTGTCCCAACTAGAGACATATTTTTATAACAAAATACTCTGTTGTACTACCTGTATAAAAAATGAATATCAAAATATACCATATATGTAATTCAATTCCTTTATGAATAGGACCTGTATGAGTAAACTATACTGTAAGAGATTATTATACTGTAGCTACAATTATACATACTTAGCTACAAAAAATTTAGACTTATTTAAGTGTTATACATCAATTACATTAGCTAAACATCATAAGATGCAAGATCCATCATTGTGGTGAGTAATGTAATATACAAGTCTTAGAATTAAAAAAAAAAAAGAAAAGTTATAATCAGCCAAGCTCTGCACAAATTTGCATTATCTTCGTATGTGTGATTACTTATTCGAGTCTGCAGTAGTCGAGTTCAAGCTTTTGGTCCTGCCTCTTTCCTTCTGATTCACTGTTTTTATTTTATATTAATCTGTTTATTTCATGCTAATTTCTTCATGCATACGGATGAGTCCAAGAGCTTGGTACTGAGAGATCACCACCATCAAAAAGTAAACTTTAATAAGGATTACCACAAAAATAACAATAACTATAATGACAATCACCATACTAGTTCCCAACACAACAAGAGCCAAAACAGCAAAAGCACACAAGAGTAGCAAGTTGATCACATCTTGTATAACGAAAGGTATGAGGAGACCTCGACGATTCTGAAATGAAATTTGTTGCAATTTTAAATTGCTTAATTTAGGCAAAATTAACAATGTTAATATTTAATTTTAATGTACATATATACTGAACAGATTTCTGAAGGCATTCAGAGGATGTGTAATGAATAAAAGAGTCACATTACTGTGGTTTCAGCAATTCACAAATAACCCATACTTAAGAGAAAACTTATGACGACTTGACAATAGTCTAGGAAGGATCAAAACATCAAGAATGTATGCTTGTCCGGTTCAATATATTTCCCAAGACTTGAACCTACCATATCTTATACAGCATTGCCTACCCACAGTACAATTCCATATATGCACAATGTCCCTATTATAATATACAGTATCCTCACCATAAGAAAGGAAATTGTCCCCTATAATGTAGTACATGCAACACCTACTATCATTTAGCTCCAGATACAACCCTGTAGTTGATTTAGCACTTTCTTTGATTTTAATAATACAACCCTGTAACAATTCTATAGACACAAATGTATGAAATTATCCTACATGCAGGGTCTGGATACAGTACATGACTTGACCTAAGAGTTTGCAGGGGGTTGATCTTGCCTCTTTAATGGTTGGTTGACTGTCATTGTTTAGGTATGCTTCAGATCAAAATTACTTCACATCCCCCAGACCCTTTATAACCCCCTACAAATTCAGTGTTTTCCAAAAATGCTGTATAATAATTAGATTTGTTTGTACACTGCAATACAAGTCGGCCATTAACATCTCTCTCTCTAACTCAACCCAATTCTTTACAGTACTATCTTACAGTATTTTATACTATGAAGGATTTTTTTTTTTTAATATTCGCCTCCATTCAGTGCTGCAGCCTCCACCTGCATCCCCTCATCTTGATCCATTTTATCAGTTGTGTTTCTCTACTCTGAAGATGATCTAGCATATTTCTTTATTACAACTTCTCTTATTCTAGATTCATTCAAAGATCCGAGATTAGCATCAGTTTTATCTAATTGTTAAATTAAAAAATGCTCTCCTCCACACCATTGCTTTACAATTCCCTACATTTTATCCCTATTATGGACATAATAATTCATTACAGTATCTCATATATGCAACACAGCCTCTGTGATACAACATGACATGGAAAGTTTTTATTCTTATAATGCATTTACAAAAATATGTCCTCCAGTATTCACCACAGTTGCTTAAAATATAAAATGGATATTTCCCTTCATGGTTTTTGGGGTGCTGAAAATGAATATTAGCCTAGTAACAATTGATTGGCTAATGGAAATTGTACATAAATAGTTTTGAAAACCGACAAGTTAAAGAGACACTTCTGCAACACACGGAAATCTTTATTAAGGAAACGTTTCGCCAGACAATGGCGTCATCAGTTCAATACAAAGTAGAAATGGGTAAGGAGAGGAGGAGTTTGAGGTAATCAGTCCCTCAGCCTGAAATCAAAGTGTTCAGTCCATCACTCTTGTTGAAAGCACAGCATATGGCCAGAGAAGTGGCCTACATACTATAGTCAGGCAAGTTGAAGCAGGCGGGATCACAGTGGAACCATCCACCAGTGTAAATAGGTATTCGTCCAAAGGTTGGATAAGTATTGAAGAATTCCTTGTATCAAGATCCCATGATGTTGCAGTGTCTGACAGATTGTACTGGACTGATGGAGCCACTGTGTGGCGAAAGGTCTCCTTAATAAAGATTTCCATATGTTGCACAAGTGTCTCAATCTTTAACTTGTCGGTTTTTAAAACCATTTACCACATACAATTTCCATTAGCCAATCAATTGTTAGTAGGCTAATATTCATTTTCAGCACCCCAAAAACCATAAAGGGAAACATCCATCTTCTCTGAATCATAAAATTTTTCAGAGCTTATAGGCGAGTGTATTTTTTTTTTTATTAACACACTGGCCGATTCCCACCAAGGCAGGGTGGCCCGAAAAAGAAAAACTTTCACCATCATTCACTCCATCACTGTCTTGCCAGAAGGGTGCTTTACACTACAGTTTTTAAACTGCAACATTAACACCCCTCCTTTGTTATTTACATGGTTTGTAAATGCTGTGGCAACTCTCACTGCAACCTTTCAGGATTTAAAGTTGTAATGCTATGGTGGTTTAAATCATAACCATTAATGATTCATATAATCATTCAAGCTGCCAGTGCATTATAGCTCAATAATACATGGCAAAATGTTAAGATTTTTAAGTCTGAATGTTTAATACTCTTATTTGATGAACATCACTGATTTTATAATAACAGAATTATGGGGCTGTATGACCCTTATGGGTTTAGCACTTAGTTATGATTATAATAATTATAATACAGTGGACCCCCGGCATTCGATGGCATCGATATATGTTAAATCTGGTATATGATACATTTTTGACGCAAAAATTTTGCCTCGTCACTCGTTAAAAAACCCGCCACACGCGATTCGTCCAGGACGCGTCCATGTGGCCTAAACTGCCCCGTGCATGCCAGTGTGCTCGCATCTAAGCATACATTCGGTACATTCCATATTATCACAGTGTTTTTGGTGCTTGTTTCTGCAAAATAAGTCACCATGGGCCCCAAAAAAGCTTCTAGTGCCAACCCTGTGGTAAAAAGGGTGAGAATTAGTATGGAAATTACGAAAGATTTTGAAGGGTTTGGGGCTAACCCTGAGAAGCCTATGCCAGTTGTGGAATCCATTGTGCCTACTTCAAAAAGTAAGGAAATGTGTGCCAAGTGAGTTGAACTGCAAACCTTTATGGATGGAAATCACCCTAACACAGCTATTGCAAGCCGTGCTGGTGACTATTACAATGATAATGTTGTGGCCCATTTTAGACAAATCTTAAAGGAACGGGAGGTACAGACATCTATGAGCATATTTGTTGTGCGACAGGTCCAGTGACTCTCAAGCTGGTCCTAGTGGCATTAAAAGAAGAAGGGAAGCAACCCCAGAAAAGGACTTGCTACCTCAAGTCCTAATGGAAGGGGATTCCCCTTCTAAACATTAATAACTTCGACACTCTCCCCTCCTCCCATCCCATCAATCATATCATCACCAGATCTTCATTAACCCTTTGAATGTTTACGACGTATAAATACGTCTTACGAGCCAATGTTTCTGACGTATTTATACGCACAAATTCTAGCGGCTTCAAATCAAGCGGGAAAGGCCTGGTAGGCCTACATGAGAGAGAATGGGTCTCAGTGGTCGGTGTGCACCCTGTGAAAAAAATCTGGGACCCAGCGGTGCATTGTGGGAACGCCATCTTGTTAGTCCATTTTCACCATGCCTCTCGGTAAGAAGTTCCTCACTCCTTGGCGGATTGGAGGTCTTTTGTTCCCAAGTGATAGCTCTAACAGCGATGAATATGTCAGTGACAGTGAATTCCAGGGTTTTGAAGTGAGTGTTCCCGGAAAAAGTGCCCAGGATAACGTAATTAGTGATGAAAACCCAGATGACCCACAACCTTCCACCTCTGGTGCTGGGCCGGCTTGTTCATGTTCACGTTCGCCTGTACCAGGACAAAAGAGGAAAACTATTTGGTCGTGTACAACACCCAGATGATAGCAGTGAATGTGGTAGTGATAGTGATTTCAAGGTCATTGAAAGCAGTTCTAGTGACAGTGAGGGTGAATATTCCCCAGTGAAGCGGCAGTATGTACGACGTAGCATGCGGTCTGGTAGTGTTTCATATGTTGTTCCAAGGGAAGGAGAAACTCTGGGAGCACATCCCGTGGCCCTACACCACGACCTGATAGTGAAGATGACGATATTGTAACGATGGGTATGAATGATGTGAGTGAGGGAGCAGGCAGTGGTGGTGATAGTGAGGGTGGCACGGCCCATGTGGCACCATCAGCGGGCCACGCTACTACCCACGCTGCTGACTCTGCACAACAACCAGCCTCACCCGACCCCACACTCCCACAACCTGCACAACACAACCTGCACAACCACAACCACGGTACAATATCCAGACCCCACCAGCAGACCGCATCTAGGATTGGCAGGACGGTGACGAGTTTGTTCCCAGTCTCCATGACTTTGATGAAACACAAAGTGGAATAAAGCCATCATGTTCACTTGGGAACAATGCCAGTGAACTGGACTGCTTTGAGTTATTCTTCGATGAACCCCTGATGGACATCATTGTTAGGGAAACAAACACATACTGTGATTACACCATGGCAAATACAATTCTCTCACCAAAATCACGGCTACACAAGTGGAAGGAGACAACTGTGGCAGAGATGTACTTGTTTTTTGCCACAATAATGCTTATGCCACATGTGTATAAGCACACTGTCACCACATACTGGGCAACAGAATGCCTGATTTCAACTCCAGGTTTTAGTGACATTATAGGTGTCAATCGTTCCTGATACTGTTACGTATGTTACACTTTTCAGACAAAACCAGGCCTGACAGAAGCGACAGGTTATATAAGATAAGAAATGTGTTTATGTACCTGAAACAAAAGTGCTGCATGTTTTTTATCCCTTCAGGAAGCTTGTTATTGATGAGTCCTTGATTTTATTCAAAGGAAGACTCTCATTCAAGCAATATATACCAAGCAAGAGGAAACGCTTTGGTATAAAGCTATTTGTACTGTGTGATTGCAGAAGTGGTCTAGTTTTGGATATCATTGTGTACACTGGCAGTAATACTTTGAGAGATACCATGAAGTTATTGGGTATCTCTGGTGATGTGGTTCGAACAATGATGGAACCATATCTTGGTAAGGTGGCATAGTTTATTACTGATAACTGTACACAAGCCCCTTACTTAGTGATTTCTTGCGAGTGAACTTGACAGACGTGTGTGGCACAGTGCGTCGTAATCGTAAACATATGCCAAGGTTCGACGCTGGCACTCGCAGAGGTGAGGTGCAAGCCTTTGCTGCCAATGACATCATGGCATTTCGGTGGCAATGGACAAACGTGATGTCACATTATTGACATCAGTTCACTGAAACGAAATGGTACACAGTGGCAGGGACAACAGAGA